TTAGGTTCACATGCCACACTTTGTTCAGTCATTCACCAATCACTGGATGCATGGATTGTTTCCAGTTTGTTTGTTCTCATTCATGATGCTACTATGGCTACTTGTGTATAGATCTTTTTTTTTTTTTCCTGTCAATAACATCCTTAGTGTATGGTTCCAGGAATGGGATCCCCGGGTCAAAAAGTTATTATGTAGTCATTATAGTATTATTCAACAATAATAATCTGAGAGAAAGCTAACAGGTAACATTTATATGGCATCTACAATGTACCAGGCATGGCTATCACATTTGATCCTCACAACTCTGGGAGATAGGTGCTATTATAGTCCTCATTTTACATTTGAGGAAACTGAGGCAAACAGACGTTAAATGAGCTGCCCAAGGTCACATAGCTGAAAAATATCTGAGGCTGGATTTGAACTCAGGTCTTTCTCACTCCAGGCCTGGTCCTCTACCTAACCTGGGCTACCTGGCTGAGACCAGGTGTTATGAAATTTCTGCAGGTACACGTGTCAGCTTCTCAAATCTTCTGTTCCATAATTCTCTTATCTACAGGAGGAACAGAATCCTCAGTCTCCATCTGACCTGGAAAACATAGTGGATTCAACTTCTTTGGTGCTGGAATAGAGACGATTAGCAGCTCTCTCAGATTTGGGTTCCTGCTGCTCCCGAAACACCTGAAGATAAGTGCAATGAGCTTACCCATCAGTTCTGATATGTGCATGGAGCTGAGCTTTTTTTTTTTTTCATGGTAGTTAGGTGGCAGAATAGAGTTCCTGACAGTCAGAAAGAGCTGAGTTCAAATCCTACCTAACGCACTTAGTAGTTGCATGACCTTGAGCAAGTCTCTTTGCCTCTCTGAGTCTTAGATTTCTCAACTGTAAAATGGGTCTAATAATAACACCAACCTCCCAGGATTGATGTGAGGATCAATTAAGATCATGTATACAAAATGCCTCACAACCTTAAAGTGCTAGATATTATTGTTGTTATTACATATGTTTAGTACCAAAGTGGTAGATATTATTATTATCAGTTCCCGTGACCAAAAGACTTTATTAATGTGATGGAAAATTAGCATGATAGACAATAGGTGCCATTGGAGTGCTGAACACCCTCTAGGACCAATGGATATTTCACGATCAGAATCCCAGGAATTTAGAGATCCAATCAACTTTCTCGTTTTGTAGAGGAGAAATTCTTAGCCATCTTTTAGAGCCCAATTCAAATTCTACTTCCTTCATAAATCCTCAAGTCTCTCTGGTTGCTAATGACTTTCCCCCTCAAACCTTATGTGATACTTTTTTTTTTCTTTTGGACTTGACCTGTAATTCATCTTCCCCAATAGAATAGAAGCTTTTTTGAGAGTATGGTCTGCTGAGCATGGTAGGTATAGTAGGTGTTTAATAAATGCTTAGCACCTTCTGCCTAATGTAACCACTGAAGCAAGGCATCAGAAGAAACCATAGGGGTCATTTTGTATAATCCAACGACTCCGGCCTCCAGGTTGTTCCTCACACAAGACACTCCATCTCCTAACTGGAAGCATGTTGACTGGCTGTTTCCCATGTGTGGAATGTTCTTCCTCCTCATTCCTGCCTCTTTGCTTCTCTAGTTTTCTTCAAGTTTCACCTGAAATCCCACCTCCTCAAGAATATCAATGCCCCTTCAGTGTGATATCACCCCCACTCTGTCCTGTGTGTCATGTTTGTACATGGCTGTTTTCATGGTGTCTCTGCCATTAGAATGGAAATTCCTTGAGAGCAAGGATTATGCTTTTGCTTTTCTTTGTGTCCCAGTGGCTGATACAGTCTCTGACGCCTTAATAAATGCTTGCTGGCTTGTGGACCTCCACACCATGATGAAATATCAAAGTAGGCTTTTGGGCCCCACAAAAATTTATAAGAAAACCAGAGAATAGAGACCTGACTTGTGATCTAAATATCTAAAAGTGATAATATCATATTTGGTCCTGTCCATGAGCAAAAGAGAAGTTTTCTTCCTATCCTTGGATAAGCATGAGACTGAGATGAAGCATATTAGTCTCTTGGGAATTGTATTCAGCCAATGTCTGCCACTTCTCCCCCAGGGACTCAGCTGGGAATTCCCAATAGCCTAAGCAGTGCATCATTAATCCCATTCATTTCTCCACTGGCAAAATCCATGAAAAAATTGGGCAATTGATTGGATGGAACTGAATTCTATCCATGAAGGACAAACCACACATGCCCTATGTGGTTCATGAGATACAGAAATATATTGAACTGGTTCCTTCTAGGCTGCCACATGACCTAACCAGGGATGTCCAGCTCAGAAAGCAGTTCTTACCTAAGGTTAGAGGTGTTTCAGAGAGCAGTCTCAAGGGACCAGGAGAATCTAGACCCCCTCCATACCCCAGATTCCCTCCCTATCCCATTGTCCTAGTCATAGGGGTGAGTAGACTTACGGCTGCTATGACATAGAACACAGGAGGGAAGAGCCCCAGAGAGATCTGAACCAAGCTCTGTAACTTCTAGCCAAAGTAAATCTCTAAGCATAATCTTGGTTCCTTGCAAGGAAACCTTGGGGAAAGACCTGGTTCAGATGGAGTTATTGCTGTTCTTGACCACATTGTTCAGAAATGTACCCTTGAGGCTCTTGTGGATCCAAAGGAAATTGACACCACCACTATTGCTGTTGCAGTTTTCCATGTCTCACCACGTTACAAACTCAGCTTTCTTCCTCATTAAGGCAGAAGAAGGTAACTGGTCTGGATTGAGTCCTCCCCTGAACCCAGTTCTATCTCATCTTGGTAAACAGTATCCTCCTGAGGGCAGGAGCACTGCCTGCCCTTGTGAGCAGACTGCCTAACATAAAAATAGTTACATTAGTGGAAGCCTGGGCTGTCTAGAGCCATGGATGAGGATGGGTAGGGAAACAGGAGATTTCTAAGATCTCTGGGAGTGACCTAGGTAGTGGGGTTTAATAATTGTGGGTTTTGATCCAATGGGAGCACGATATAATAGGAAATCTCCTCTCAGATTCCTTCTATTTCTAAATCTATTGTGCTAAGATCCTCCTCCCTTGATTAGGCAAAGGATTTCACTAGTTTGCTGAGTGATTGAATAGCAACAGAGTTAAAGAACCAAAAACACTAAAATTATTACTCACACTAATAATATGGAAGTGACTTGTGACTGTGTGGAGTGTTCCCAGGGTGTGAAGTCCCTCCACCAAAATGGATCAGAATGAAATAATAATAGTGGCCATTTATATGTCACCTTAAGATTTGTAAAACATTTTATGGACAATACCTCCTTTGATCTTCACAATCTTGAGAGGTAGATTAGAAGCTTACAGATGAGGAAACAGAAACTCACAGGGTTAAATGACTGGCCCAGGATCATATAGCTATTAAGTGAGGGGGAGTGGGGGGATTTGAACCCAGGTCATCATAACTCTAAGCCTAGCCTTGTAACTTCCTCTAACATTTATAATATCTTATATTTGCTTAACAGCTGGGGTTCACAGTTTAACTAGATGCAGAGTCTATGAAGGACAATAGTATGAGATAAAATAATCTAGAGTTAGGGGGGCCTCAAATGTCAAGATAAGGAGTTTATACCTTAGGCAACAAGGTTGCTACCAAAGACTTGAGGAATAGAATTCTGGCATGATCATGGGTCACCATAGTTACTCATCAGCTAGGGGGCTGACCTACTGGTGATGAGCCTCTCCACTTGTAGTAAGAAATCTGGGGGACCACCGATCAGAGAGATTCCTGTCCAAGTACTGGTTGGACTAGAAGATCACTGCAGTCCTTTCCTCTTCTGAGATTCTACGATCCTATTTAGGACTGGACGACTCCCAAGAAGCAGCCCTAGCTGTAGAGTCAAGAACATGGGCTCAAATCCCATTTTAGACACTGCCTGTGTGACCTTGGGTATGCTGCTGATTCCGCCATTTGTAAAATATGGGAATGGGATTAGAAGAACTCCAAGTTCATCTCAGCTCCACAGCCTAGGGTGCCACCTTCAGAACAAAGGTTGCCATATTTGAATTCACTGACTTGGGTGTACCCATAGAGTCTGGGTTGGAGAGCCCATAGCTAAGTTCTGGCTTAATCCTTCCCTTGGCAGATGGGGGGCCTGAGTCAGAAAGATCAAAAGACTTGCCCCAAATCAGATGAGCAATAATAGCGTGTCATACCTATGTCACACTTTCTGGTTTATAAAGCACTTTTTTTTCAGTTCTGTGAAGTGGGTGGCCAAGTATTAGAAAGAGTAAGAAGGCAGAGGAAAGAGTGTTGGACTTGAAGGCAGGAAAGACCTAAGTTCAAATCCCAGTCCAAACACTTACTAGGTAGATAATCACGAGCAAGTCATGGAATTTCTTTGAGATGCTTCTTCCGCTTGGAGTAGAAAAGATCTGCTGGCTACATTGGGAAGAGTACTGGCTTTGGAAGCACAGCATCAGCCTCTGCCCCACCCCCCGCAAAAAAAGAAAAGTAGAGATAACTATGTTACCCACATACAAAGCTGCGACGAAGAGCAAAAGAGCTAATATATGGAAAGTGATTTGAAAACCTTAAGAGACAACATAAATGGGGGTAGCTAGGTGGCGCCAGCCCTGAAGTCAGGAGGACCTGAGTTCAAATCTGGCCTCAGACCAAACACTTGACACTTGCTAGCTGTGTGACCCTGGGCAAGTCATTTAACCCCAACTGCCTAAAAAGAGAGAGAAAGAGAGAGGCCATAAATGCAAATGAGCATCACCTCCTGTTCTGTCTCTGTCTCCCAAGCCCATCTTCCCCTCCCACACACCAGCACTAGTCTTATTAAAGACTGATCTGTGGCCACATTAAGGGTCAGTCTGTGGCCTCAGCTCTAAGCCAATCTGGGAAGGGACAGCTAGAACCAGATTCCTCGTCAACGCAGGAGCCCCTTTCTCCTTCACCTGATGCTATCTAGGGGTAGCTGTGCTTTTTTCAAAGGGATGAACTAGAGAGCCAGCTGGAAAGCATGGTTCAAACACAGTTTTATTCTGGTATCACTTGTAAATAAATAAATACATAAAGCACACCCAACATCTATGGAGTCCAACTGAACAGAGGGAAGCAAGGAGGGAGGGAGCAGCAACAAGGATGCTCAGATGGATGGATAGATGGACTAGGGTGGGGGAGGCTTAAGCTACAGATACCCTGCACATGGCTACTCAACACATACGCTCCAGAATTTGGAGAACTTTCCCCGCATGGGCCCTACCCACCTCGCCCATCCCCCAATCTTTCCCTGGTTCACGTGTAGCATGATGGGTTCATCCATTCAGGAGCAGGGGAGAAGGGAGGGAGCTGGGTCCAAGAAGGCGATTGCTTTGGTGACAGGGGAGAAGGTTAGAGTCAGCTACTGGCTCCACGATCCTTGGCCTGGCTCCACGATGGTTCCCCGACTAGTCTCCACTGCCCTCAACCTCAAGGAGAGAGCAAATAAGGCACAGAGTAAACACACAGACACACTATAATAACCTGCCCCACTCTCACTGCCCCCAAACATAATACCAAGCTATGTACTTCCTATACAAACATGGCAGGGAGTCAGGTCTGCCATTGGTAGGACACTCTCCCAGAGTCGTGTCTCCAGCAGTGGGGATGAGCCCAAAGCAGCCCATTTACCCATGCTCTTGTGACTCTGGGTATATGTTGTTTTAGAGTTAGCTGGAAGGATTAGGAGTTGGTCTGTGGCTAGCACTGGCTTGCAGTCTAAGGCAAGGGTCAGAGGTCAGTTTGTGACCAGGTTTAGAATCAGTCTCCGACCGGGTAAAAGATTCCACCTTCAGCCAGGATTAGGGGGTCAGACTATGACCAGGATGAGTATCAGTCTATGACTAGCACTAGGGTTCCTTGTGCCATTATTATTAAGGCCCATTCTGGGTTTGGGGTCAAAGGGTCAGTAAATGGCTAGAGTCTGAGGTCAATCTGTAGTTCATTCCATTTGCTCAAGAGCACTCTTCATTAGGTATGCCTCTGAAAGCCAGCCTTCATCTAAATTCTAGGCCTATGGCAGGGAAACCTTAGAAAACAATCAGGACAGGTAGAGGAGGCAGGGGTAGGAGAGGAGATAGAGGCACAGTGGATAAAGGGCTGGGCCTGAAGTCAGGAAGACTCATCTTCCTGAGTTCAAATCTGGCCTGGGCACGGCACTTAACCCTGTTTGCCTCAGTTTCCTCACCTGTAAAATGAGCTGGAGAAGGAAATGGCAAATCACTCCAGTGTCTTTGCCAAGAAAACCCCAAATGGGGTCACAAAGAATAGAGCGCGATTGAAAAACTACTGAACAACAACAGTAGAAACTCCTTCTAGAGAAAGATGCTCTAGGCCTGGGGGAACATGCAACAGGAGAATGAACCAGGGAAAGATTGGGGGATGGGTGAGGTGGGTAGGGCCCATGCAGGGAAAGTTCTCCAAATGCTGCTGTCACTAAATATGTTTTCCCCAAGTCCAAGAGGCTGACAGATGGAAAATCCTGGAGAACAGACAGAAAACCTGTAGAGCCCTGAGGAGATGGGGAGGGAAGCATCGGAACCCTTTACCTTCTCTGCTTCTGCTGGCTGGTCTTCGGGGGCCCCATGCTCAGGTGGAGCTGGGTGTACCAAATCCTCCTAGGGAAACGAAAGGTGCAGCTGGTTAGAGGCATTAGGGCAGGATCCCAAAGGGGTTAAACAGGCAGAGGCACAAGGCAGGGAGTGAGTGTGGAAGCATGACAAAGAATAAGGGAGAGGGAGGGTGGGGAACAGGAGAAGGGGGAAGGAAAAGGGGGGACAGAAAGGAAGAGCTAGAGGGAAGAAGGAAGGCAGGAACAGACAGAGACAGAGGGGGAGAGGAAGAAAGGAAGGCAGAAGGGCAGGGAGAGGAGGAGGGATAATAGATAAAGGGAGGGATGAAGGCAGAGAAGGAGAAAGGGTGGGAGAGAAGCAATAAGAAAGGGAGGGAGGGAGATAGGGAAAGAGAAGGAGAGAAGCACATACACTGTATCTCTGGGACAGAGACAATCCCCAGCCTGCCCCTTCGCAGGCATCCACTTATTAAATGCAAATGGAATTGAATTGAATGGAATCTCCCCAGTTCATATCTCCCCTTAGCAGCCAGCCCAGTGTTTCTGTATCCATTAGAATTGTAGAACCATAGATGGACTTCAGAAGCTGGCTAGTACAACCGAGCCCTCCTCAGGTCAGCCCTCTGTAGTGTCCCTGAGAAATGGACACCCAGCTTATGAAGATGTCCAGTAACAGCCAACCCACCCAGTGGAACTCAAGCCACGTTGGGGCACCTCTGGTTTTCAGCAAACTTCCCTGACACCAAGTCTAAAGTCTTCTCCCTAAAATTGCTCCTAGTTCTGCAGGAAGGAATGGGGGTGGGGAAGATTAGGATTAGTTGGCTCCAGACAGTATAGATATCTATGGAGGGGTGACAAACGAGATATGCGAATGAAGGGCAAGAAACGGCCCCTCGGAATCGTTGATTCTGTAAAACTATAACGTTTTGTTTTTTCAACTCCTGAACTTTCTACTTCATGTCTTGGCAGGACTCATTGTCCTGGCATCAGGCCCATCTTCCAGATAAGGAAACTAAGGAAAGTGAGGAACAACCCTTAGGAGGACCTGGGACAGCTACAGAAAAATGTAATGTAAATGAACTGGCAGTTTAGGGACAGACAACTAAGCAGCACAGTGAAGAATGTTGGATTTGAAGCTGAGAAGACCTGAGTTCCAATCCTGCTTCAGACACTTACTAGCCATGGGATAAGTTATCTCACCCCTCTCAGGAATAGTTTACTCATTTGAAAAACGGAGCTAAAAATAGCACCTGCATCCCAGCATTGTTGTATGGATCAATTGAGATAATATTTCTAAAGTGCTTTGCAAACCTTAAAGTCATATGGAAGTTTGAGTCACTATCATTCTTATTTGTTGGGGTAGATGGCCCCATTGCTGGCCCAACAGGTATCAGTGGAAGAGGGGTTCCCCTGAACACTGATGACTCCCAGCCTAGGGTTATGTCTTCAGGCAAATATCAGTGGTTATCTATTCATTTAAAGGGGTGCTTGGTCCCAAGCTAGACATCTCCTCTGCAGTTTGCTAGTCCGATCTCTTGGCCTGGAGTCCCCATCGGAGACTCGCTATTAGCCTGCCAGTGTCCCTCTTCGAGGGCAGCACAGCAGGAGGGTTTCCCTTGGGCAGTACTGTCTGTGTCTGTAACTAGGGCACCGATACCTTGGAATGAGACATTCTCCGTGTCCCTGGTGGCATCACAAGGCTCAGGCAAACAGCTGAGGGGCCTGTGCAGAAAGAACTCTCTCCTGCACTCCAGACTCCCTCACCAGTCCCAGACCCACGGAGCCCCAGATTGCCAGGCCAGGGTTCCTCCCTAACTCCAGTCACCTACTCATCCAGGTTTGTAGCAAATTGAGGCACTATGATGGGAGAAACAAAAGGTGTTGAAGACACAGCCGAGTGCAGTCCATCTGAGTGCAAATACCAATCGTCAACATTTACTTTAAAATTTGCAAAGAGCCATTCCTACATTATTTCCTTTGTGCCTCAGAATTCTGGGAAGTAAGAACTGTGGGTAGAGTTATCCCTTCTCTACAGATGAAGAAACAGAGGTTCAGATTGGTTAGTACTTCCCCAGACTCACACAGCCTAGTGCGTAGGATCCAAACAGCAGCCTAGTGTAGTAGGATGGGCGTGAATAGGGAGTCACAAGACCTTGTGTCAGCTTTTGTGTCAGCCTTTTGTGTCAGCCCCATCTCACCCTGTTCTGCCTCCTTCACAGAGGCACTGGGAAGGTAAGGCTTTGTAAACTGCTCTTGAGGTCAGAAAGAGTCCCAGATGAGACTCTTACTAGCTGAAGAGACCCCACTCAAATCACTTAAGCTCTGTGAGTTTCAGGTTACCCATCTGTAAAACAGGGATAAACATATGCTCACTAGCTACTTCAAAGAGCTGTGTTAAGGAAAGCACTCAGGAAATGCTAACAACCTGCAGAAATGTGAGCGCTTGTAACTCTGTTTTATCTGAGGAAAAATTGCCTCTAAAATGTCCTATGGGATAGGGCCCCTTGCTAGAACCAAATGCTATTTGTTTGTTTTTTTTTTCCCCAAGACATACCAAATGGGTTACTAGATCAAAGAAATCCATAGACTTCAGCAAAGCATCTGATAGTCTCTCCCTTCTTGGGTAGTGGGAGGGAGGGGAAGGGAACACGCACTTATTAAGCACCTACTGTTTGTGAGACACTGGGGTATCTGAAACTTATAATTTTAGACTTGAAGCTCAGAGAGGTTCATGCAAAGGACCATGGATTTAGAGCTGGAAGGGACCTTTGAGGCCATTGAGGCCATCCCTATCTTGTACAGATGAGGATACTGAGGTACAGAGAGCTTAAGGGATTTTCCTAGAGTGACAGAGCTGGTAAGTGTCTGAGGTGGGATTTAAACCCAGGTCTCCTGACTCCAAGCCCAGCAAGCTATTCCCAATAACAAACTCCTCTCTAATGAAATCTTCGGGTATATTACACAGGCACAGTGTCCAGGAAGAGGGAGGGAAGAGCCCTAGAGTGTTCAGTCTTGAATGCCACCTTTTTGAAGGGATGTTGGTGAGCCAGAGCCTTTCAGAGAAAGATGACCAGAATAAGGAGATGACCCACAGGGACACTAGCTGAATGAAATTGAGGTGGTTAGCCTACAGAGGAAGATGTTCTTGGGGGAGGGAGCTCCCCATCACTACAAGTCTTCAAGTGTTGGGGATATTGTCGAAAAGATTCTTGCTGCAAAAGGTCCCTTCTGACTCCAATTTTCTATGAAAAAATTCTTCCCAAGTTTTTATTTTTATAGCTTAATGAACATAGTGATCTCTGCTCTTAAGGATTAAGCGTTAACCCTCTGTTTCACAGGCTACCAATCTAGACTCTGACACTCGCTAATTGTGTTACCATTTAATGTCTCTGGGACTCAGTTTCCTCAAATGTTAAATAAGGAGGTTGGAGTCAATGACCTCTGATGGCCCTTCCAACTCTAAACTTATATGATCCTATGATTGAGAGTTGGTAAACTTGGGTTTTGGTCCTGCCTCTGAAATTGACAAGCTGCCTCCGTTTCCTCAGAAGCACAATGAGGTTAATAATCTTTATCCGTGTTCCTGAGCAGGTCAGCTGTGAGGCTCAAAGGAATCATAGGCTCATAGTCCAGGGTCACACAGGCAGTTTGTGGCAGACCCAGGGTTGGAACAAATGCTTTGGAAAGGGCTTTGGGGGGGGGGAAGGCAAATGTGATCCTAGTCCAAGGAACCCTGAACTGCTCAGCCATAGCCTATGGGCAAAGCTACTTCCCCTCTCTGAAACTCAGTTTGCTCACCTGTAAAATGGGGATGAAGCATCTCTATATTATTGCCTACTTGGCAGGGCTGTTGTGAAGAAAAGTACTTTGTAACTTGCGAGCACTGGAGATATGGAGGTTATTTCCATCATTTTTGAGCTCCATACAAGATGTAGCCATACCTAAACTCTGGCCAGAACCTTGGAGTCTACTGGGAGCCTCAAGGACTAATGATTTCCCTGGAACATTGAGTAGCGACAACTCACCTTCCGAACGATGCCAGTGGTCACCACAATGTTTTCAGCCTCCTCCACTGTCTTGTTGGCCACGGTGTTCACACTGGCTACCATAGCATCGCTCACCATGTTGGCCTGTTCTTTGGTCTTTTCCGCAACTTGTTGGGGGAGAACAGAGAACATTTTTTTCCTCTGGTTTCATTTTTTTTTCCTTCCTGACCCATCCATCCTTCAAGGTGAGGTTGTTCTGTGTTCCACAAGGATCCTTCTTCACCGTACAGTTAGTAGGCCTTGGTATGGTCACTTGGACCCTGAATTATGTGCTAAGTCCCCCAGGGATGAAGGCAGAGAGGGAGATTCCAGGATTCAGATCCTCAAATACAATTTTTCTCCACCCATTTGCACTTCCTTTCCCCTGATCAGGGCTCTAATGGCTCAGGGTACCTCCCACAAGGTATTCAGCAGAGTAAGGGACCCAGATAAGGTGGGGCCAAGGAGAGAGACAGAGACAGAGAGACTGAGAGACAGGCAGACAGATAGAGAAATAGAGAAGAGAGAAAAGAGAGAGAGAAAGAAAGAGGAGAGAGACAGGAGGGAAAAGAGAGTAAGAGAGAGACAGAGACAGCTCTTCAGCACTTTCCACTCCCTTGGTGGGGGAAGAGTCCACACAAATGGGGCTGTGCCTCACACATACCCCTAGACAACAGGGTTGGTTTTTAAGGGGAGGGTCTCAGGAGCATTAGCCTTCAAATACCAATAAAATCACCCAGGACCTGAGGTCCTAGTTAGGCCAAAATGATAGTGAACATGAAAGGGAGGAGAGTGTTCCTGGGCAGAAAGACCAGTCCGAAACCTCTTTCTGGGAACTGATATCTGGGGGATTCTGGGGAATGTGGATTCTAGGGAGGCAGCTTTGTAGAGAGAGTCCCAGGGTCTCTCAATCTCTGGAGTCATAGGTAGTCCCAGCTCCTTACCTGAGGTCACACTCTGCACCACACCCTCTTTAGTTTTAGTTCCTGTGAAAGAAGTAAAGACCAGGTCAATTCCCAGAACAGCTCCGCCATGCTACAAGCCCTTGGCTTGGCCACTTCCTCCCATTGCCCTAGGGCATCTTCTGTGTCTGCAGGATAGGGAAGGAGAATGTCATACAGGAGAATGGAGGGCCTTCTGACACAAGGGGTGAACCTCTTGCTCAGGTTTAGGCAGTAAGGGGAAGGAAAGACCCAAGGAGACAGAAGTGGAAAAACAGGAAAGATGGAAACAGATTAGAGAGATGCCGAGCAAAGGTTAGAGGGATAGGGATAGGAAAACGGAACATGGGGAGATGAATGGTGACAGAAGAGTGGAAAGGGGCAGAGAGATGAGAGGAAGAAGGGTGAAGAATCAGTGGGATGGAGGAACAAATAATGGAAAGGTAGATGATGGACAGAGAATGGAAAAATAAGACAAAAGACAAACACATGGGGGAACAGTATATGGAGAAGAGAAACCAAAAACGGAAGTAGAGTGTGGACAGAGGGAGAAATCAGGAGACAGAAGATGGAAGGGGAGAAGGCCAGGAGATGAAGAAACGATGGTGGGATGGGATGGGGGAGAATGGATAGGGTGACAGAGATGGAAAGAAAGGGATAATGAGAAGAGATGGAGGAGATACAGGGGAACATCCCTTCCATCCCAAGCCTGGCCCTTCCTCTTTAGCCCCCCAGAAGTCATTCAGGGAGGGAATGATCAAGACTAGTTTTCTCTTGGGGTCTTGGGAAGAATGATGGGTTATAAGGTGACAGACACTTGCCTTCTTCAATGCATATTCTCATTTATTCATTAGGAGAAGCCCAGCCTACATCAAAGGGCTCTTTCCTTCCATGTCTGGACAAGACTGTACAGAATGGAGGAGTCTGAACACAGAGGAGGAGGGCACAACTTCCTCCAGGCCATCCTCCCTCAAGACAAGCTGGATACCACCCCCCAGGAATCTCAAGTCACCCCCTCCATGATCCATCCCTTGAAATGTTCTCACCCTAGTCCTGGGCTCTGCCTAGACTCTTTCTCAGCTTAGGACCTGCTACAGAGAGCTGGAAGGACTGTCACTGTCTGGTCCCCTGAGCTCAGGAGCACCCCCTGCCTTCTCCTCCTCCTACCTAGAGCCATTAGAGAGTATCAGTAATGTGGCACAGTGGAGAGACCACTAGCCTTGGAGCAGAAGGCCTGGGCTCGGGTCCCACCTCTCATTCACAAGCTGTACTTCTCTGGGAACGTCACTTACCCATTCTGATTCTCAGTTTCTTGGGGGGGTGGGGGTGGGGGAAGTTGGCCTTAGGTCCTTTACCAGGTCTATCTGAATCTGTGAATCTATCTCTGACTTCTGGTCTTCCAGGTACTGCCTGATAGTATGACTTGAAACAAGGACCTGGATTCAATGAACTCTGGATAGAGTGAGTAGAAACAAAGAAATCAGCTCCTGAAGACCTCTGGGCTAAACAGGATTAGAGAATAGAGGAAGAGCTGAGTCGTAAAGTCAGCTTTCATCTCAGAGACCTCGGAAGCTGAGATTTCTGTGGCAGGCTGGATGGAGACACCTTGGAATTAGGATAATTAAGAGGGAGGGGCATGGTGGAATTAGTGGCAGCACTTCTGTCCCCTCCCTCTTCTCAGTCTCCAGCTCTGACCATTCCTGACCATTCCCTCCCTCCTCCACCTCCCCCAGACCCCAAAGCTGCAGATGAGCCCCAAAGTTATATGAAAGCCAGGCTCGCCTTCCCTGGGGAAGCAGCAGGTGCCTGGTGTGAGCCAGGAAGTGGGGGAGGGACACGGGGCGGTCTACACATGTCTGCATTTGTCTCAGTCCTTAGAGGCCCCCTGAGTCAGAGGCCAGTCTGCTAGGCCACAGCAATGCTTCATTCCTTCAGACAAAGCCAGGCACAAGGGGAGCAAGTCACTGCCCCCAGGAAGTATCTCAAAGGAAAAGGCCCAGACACCGGAAGTAGTAAGGATCACAATAACAACAGGTCAGTGAGGAAGAGAGTATAAGCAACAATTTCTCTATTTTATAGATGAGGAAACTGAGGCTCTGTAGCCCCATAACTGGGATTTGGACCCAAAAGTCTTCTGACTCCAAGTTGAAGACTCTTTCCCTTATATGGCCTCTTTAAGCTTGGGGCCCCCCATTTCCCTCTCCTCTCACCATTGAATCTCAAAGCAAAGGAGTCCAGACAGCAAAGCTAAGGCCAGGGCAGACATAAACCTCACCTGGGGGAGGGAGTTTTGCAAGGACTCTCCATCACTGGGCAGCATCTGTTAGACTGTAAGTCACAACAGTCTCCACTCCCAGCATCTCCCCAGTACAGGTGAGGACGCCACACATAAGCAGACACATCATACATGTTTGTGACTGGTGCAGTGCTTGCTGGCCACTCCAGTCCTTTGGGCAAGGGGCAACCTGAGCATCCATCAGTCTCCATTCAGGGAGACTCCAGCAGCCAGAGCAGCTCTAGGGTGTGGTCCTGATGGCAAAAAGCCCAGTTTTCTCCTGAGCTGTCTGTAGCCTGCACACATCCCCTTACCTCTCAAACCTGTCCCAGTTTCTCTGTCCCTTCCCTGTGGAATGTCTGCCCTACAGAGAAATCCAAACGTGACCCAGAAGCCTTGATGGTAGCAAAAGTTTGGTTGGGTGAGGGAGACAGAAAAATGAGCCCTGACCATGGTGGCCCAGGGAAGGACCATTCTCATCCCAGAAAGTCACAGGCTTCCAGATCAGTGAGGTCATAGGTCAGGCAGCATCAGCACCACCCTCCCTTATTAATTACACTGCAGCAGGGGTCTTTCTAGGGCAAGAGATCCCACACAACTGAGCCTGGCCACGGAGAGCTGAAGCAATTATTTGGCCTTATGGGGACAGAGCTGCGGATGACCCCCAGCAGCTATGGAACTGGCCCCCTCCCAGAACCCCGGGGTGATGATGGGGAGAATTCCGTGGGCACCACATCTAGACCCCAGCCTGAACTGGGGAGGGGGCTCCCCAAGCCTTCCACTCTGTCTGGGCTCCCCCAGCGCCAAGGCCGGTATCAATGAGGAGGTGGAGTGCCCCTCCCCCTCCCACGTTACTTCATCCCCCTGACTCCCAACTTACCCACATACATCACCCCCTCCTTGGTCTTCTCAGCAGCCTCAGTGACTCCCTGCTTGGTCTTCTCCACAGCCCCCACCACGCCCTCCTTAGCAATGGAGAAACCTTTCTTAAAGACATCCATGGTGGCCGAGGGTGCAGTGAGCTCCCGGGGTGGGCTACGGAACAGTCGGACAGAGCCTCGGACACTGGAGCCCTCTGCTCAATGCAGCTTGAGTGAATGCGCTCGCCGCCGCCGGGGCTGCGGTTGGTTCCCCTGCGGGTGGCCGGTTAGCTCCCTCCCTGCTTGGCTGTCTTATTGACAAAGTACACTGCGGTGGAGCCAATGCCAGCAGCCAGGCGTTGCTGAAATATTAATGCTCCCACCCCGGCCGGGTGGGAAGCGGAGCAGATATGAGAAGAAAGGAGCGCGGCTGGCTCCCCGCCAGCCTCTGGAAGCTGCAGGGCACTTACTATCTCCTCCAAGGGCAAGATACTCCTGGAAGGAGAATGGGCCTCCTGAGATTCGCGGGGAGTATTGGTCAGACTGAGTCTGGGGGGGAGCTGGCCTGGTCCCTCTGAGGACCCTGCCTCAAGTTAGCCTGCTCTTGGCTTCACTTTTCCTGTTTCCTGGATCCCACTCTTTGGTCCCCCCACCCCCACCCCGGCCCTGCCCTTAGCACTAAAGGATCATGAAAGGTGGAGGGGTTGACCCCGGGCAACTTACTGAAGATGAGGGGACCCCATGCTCCCTCCTCTACCCCAGATCCTCAAGGATTCTGTTTCCACTCCCAAGAGTATCCCAGACTCCATCCTCCATTCATTCCCAAGGCTCAGCTCTGTTCTGATCCACCTCAAAAGCCTGAGTAAAACTGACCTTGTCCTTGAGCATCTGCTCTCAAAGACTCCTAAAATCTTGGCACTGGAGGGGACATTCAAGGTATTTCAGCCCAACCTGTCCGCCAGTCAAAATGCTCTCTAAAGAATCCCTGACAAATGGTCATCCAGACACTATTGAAAACCTCCAGTGATATTCTATGCCCAATCTCCCCTCCTCATTCTCACCCCTCCCATACACAGGTGAACACACACATAATTTCTCCAATGACTCTCTTGGGCATTGATCAATGACTTATTACCTTCTACCTGTGGGATTGGGTGCCCCAGAGGTTCAAGGGAACGTGTCGATGTCCAAGGAGGATACTGGTCTGGAGAATGGGAACCTTCCTAAGAGTGGAGAAAGGGGATTTGTCTGAGATCATCCATCTAGAGCTGGGAAGAAACACAGAGGCCATTTGACCCCTTCAATTTAGGGAAGATGCAAGTGAGGCCCAGAGGTGTGAGGTGATAATTGACAGAGATAGGGTTTGAACCCAAACTGTCCAATAACCCTTTCCTCTGCCCTCACTGAATTGTCTCTAGCCTGGGCTTTGGGGGGATGCATCCAATCAGCTCTTGGGGTGGGGAGAGAGTAGAGACAAGGTCTCCCTCCCCACCTCTGTCTATTCACCTCTGATGGTATAGAACAAAAACAGGCTGCTAGCTAACTCCACCACATATGGCAAACACAACTGCCAGCAAGGAGCCCCAGACACTTGGGTCCCACAGAGTCTGCCTCACTGAAGCCATGAACTCCCCACCCAGATTCAAGTTGGCCCTCTCCTAGAAAATGCTGTATGATACAGGGTAGTGAACCAATTCTGCAAAAGACCGAGACAAAGTAACAGTCTTTTCCAAGGCCCCAGAGTGAGTCAGAAGGAAAAGCTTGGACAAAAGCCAGATTGACTTGTCCTTCATCCATTGTGCCCACCACACTGCATCCAAGCTAGCAAGATTCTGTCATTCAGTCTTTAGATTGATGTTCAGGGAGTCTTAGAGCCATAAGGCTCAGGTATATGTACAAGGATGATATTGGAGAGGAGGACCCTTCCCCCACCAAGACTGATGACATCTCTTGGTCTTGAATACTAGCTAGGGCTAGGAAAACAACCCTTCCCTCTAAGAATGGATGCACCCAGCTCTGAATTGGACCTTCTTCTCCTCTCTCTCTGATCTCATGGGTTCAGCTATCATTGCTAAGCAGATGATTCCCAGATCTACATGTCCAAACCCTCATCTCTCTCCTTAGCTCTAGTCCCACACTGCCAATTGCCTGTTGGATATCTGTACACAGATGTCCTGTAAGCATCTCAAACTCAACCTGTCCAAAACAGAACTCATTAGCCTCCCCTTACATTTCACCCCTCTAGAATTTCTATGTCTCTGTTGAGGGCACCACCATCTTTGCAGTCACCCCTGTTAGCCACCTTAGAGTTATCTTCTACTCCTCAGTCTCCCTCATTCTACATATCAATCTATTGCTAAATACTAATGATTCTATCAACATGACCTCTGGTAAAAATTCCCTTGTCTCCATTCATAAAGCCATCTCCCTGGGTTAGGCCCTCATCCCCCTCTATCCTGGACTATTTTTTTTATTTTTAATTTATTTATTTATTTCTAGTTTTCAACATTTATCTCCATAAGCTTTTGAATTTTCAATTTTTCCCTCTCCCTCCCCTCCCCCCTCCCTAATCTCCTGAACTATTACAATAGCCCCCTAACTGGTCTCCCTGTCTCATCTCTCTCCATTACAATCCATCCTCACAGATGCAAAACTGACATTCTTTTCCTATTTAAATTTTATTTTTCTGGAATAAAGGAAGCATTTCCACAACATAGTACAATGAAAAAGATGAATGCACATGAAACTGAAAATCTACTATGCACAATTTGCTATTCTTTCTTTTTTTGTTGCAAGGCAATCAGAGTCAAGTGACTTGCGCAGGGTCACACAGCTAGTAACTGTCTGAGGCCAGATTTGAACGCAGGTCCTCCTGACTCCAGAGCCGGCACTCTATTTGCTGTGCCACCTAGTTGCCTTTATTCCTTTCAAATATACAAGAAAATTGTCATGTAAATTCCTTTTTTTCCCCTCCCCTTACTGCTCCCCACCCCCACTAGAGATAGCTACCATTAGACCCAAATAGGTGTGTGTGTGTGTGTGTGTGTGTGTGTGTGTGTGTGTGTGTAAAATTATTCTATACACACTTCTATTTATCAATTCTTTCTCTGGATGCAAATAGCATCTTTCTTCATATGTCATTTATAGTTAATTGGGTATTTCTAATAGTCAAAACGACTTATTCATTCAAAGTTGTTCTTAAAACAAGTGTTCTCTTGGTTCTGCTCATTTTGCTCTTCATTATTTTGTGGAAGTCTCTCCATGTTTTTCTGAGATCATTGAGCTCATCATTTCTTATATTACAGTAGCATTCCATCACAATTCTATACCACAACTTGTTCAGCCATTCCCCAATTGATGGGCATCTCCATAATTTCCAGTTCTTTGCTACTACAAAGAAAGCTGCTTTAAACATCTTAGAACATATGGGTTCTTTTCCTTTTTCCCTAATTATCTTTGGAAATAGACCAAGTAGTGGTATTGCTGGGTCAGAGGGTATAGGCAGTTTACTAACTCTTTGGGCATAATTCCAGATGGCTCTCCAAAATGGAGATTGGATCAGTTCACAATTCCACCAACAATGAATTAGTGTCCCAATTTTTCCACATCCCCTCCAACATTTGTCACTCTCCCCTTCTATTATTTTAGCCAATCTGGTGATATTCTTTTTATAAAAAATATTCAATAATATTTTATTTTTTCTACTTGCATGTAAAAACAATTTTTAACATTCTTTTTAAAAATTTTTGAGTTTTAACTTCTCCCCCTCCACTCTCCCCTCCTTGACATGGTTATTATACATGTGCAATAAACTGATATTCTCAAAGCACAAATCGAACCATATCACACTCTGTTCAAGAAGTTTCTGTGGTTCCCTCTTGACTCCAAAGCCAAACACCAACTTTCCGTTTGACATTGAAGGCCCTTCCCCATCTGACTTCAGGCTATTTTCCAGGCTCACACATCCTACATTCCAGTCAAACCAGTCTATTCACCATCTCCATCCATGACATTCCAGCCCCACCCCCACCTGCCCCAGAAGCTTTGCCCAGCATGGCTGGGATTGGACTCCGGGTCCTCTCCCTGCAGACGCCCCATGCCTCCCTGTAGGTCTTGTCTGATCCCAGGCCCAGATCTCCTCTCTGGGAAATGACAGCTCCAGAGGTGCCTCAAGGAGCCACTGTAGTGCTAACATCCTCTTCCTGTCTCCTAGGGAGAAGGGGGCCAGAGCCCCAGTTCCTGTTGACAGATAAGTCTAAAAGGGCCCATCCAGGGACAGAGGCGGCCCTGAATAAACTGTGACCCAAGTCCAGGGCTGCTCTCTTCCTCCCTCTCCCTACGGCCCAACCCCCCAGACTGCCCCTCTGAGCCTCTTCACAGGAACTCCCCAGGCATTGTTAGGTGGCCTCTGACATTTCCAGGCGGCTGGGCCAGGGACAGCCTCTTCCGCCCTTTGTTGTAAGAATTCAGGTTTTTATTTTTTTTTCTTCAGAAGTTTAACTTGAAGGCTCTGGGAACCCAGAGCCTGAAGGCAGGTGCTTCACAGCAAGGAACAAGACGATGGGGCCACTCCTCTTGTGCCTCTGGGGGGTCCTCGGGAGGGGAGCACTGGCAGCCAGGGCTGCAGATCCCAGGCACCACAGGGGCTACCCACAGGGGGACTATGGCACCAGTCCCTACCCCCCCAGCAGCCCCGGCCTTCCCAGGACTGGGGAGCAGGAGGCTGGGGTCCCCTTTCCCCTGCCTCTGATTCCTCCCCACCAGGCTGAGGATGGACCCAAGGATCCCTGGAGAAGGTAAGTGGTTATCTCCACTCCTCTGCCCTGCCCTAGCCCCACTGGGGTGATTGGACTGTAGGATTCCTTGGGCGTCTGATCATCTGAATCTCAGACTGGAAAATGGGTTGGGCTAAAAAGTCCCTGAGGTCCTATCCAAAACTGAGATTCTATGAACTAGGAAACTTAGTTTAGAATCTCTACTTTTGTCACCATGTGGCTACAGGAAAATCATTTAATCTCTGAGCCTCAGTTTCTTCATCTATGAGATGGGTACACCTTTTGAGGATAAAGTGACTTGTCAAGTAAAAGAGTTTTCAGAGTGACAAATCTATTAGAACCGAGGATCATAGATTTCAAGTTCACAAAACATCTTGGAGGCCACTTATTTAGTTCAACCTCTTCCTTTTGCATATGGGGAAACTGAGGTTCACAGACTTGCCCAAGGTCTTTCAGCTAGTAAGTGGCAGTCAGGATTTGAACCCAGGTCCTTGGACTATGAATCCAAAGCTTTTCGTGCTCTACCTTGTTCATCTGCTTTCTGGGAGCTTGGCCCCGTCACGGAGGAGGAGAAGGAGAGGTGGAGAAGTTGCCAGGGATGTGCTCCCCTGGATAGATACGGTAGGTCCGAGCATCAGCAATCATTTTATTCGTTGTCTACTGCCTACCTGGCAGTGTGCTGAGTGCCGGGGATACAAAGACAGGCAAAAGACAACCCTTGATGAGAAAGCATTAGAAGGCTTCTGAGACCCCACCCAACTCCAAATCTGTGCTGGTATGATGCCATAGCTGCTTGTGAGGAGGGGATGCAGGGAAGACAGCATTCTCATGAGAGAGGGGGGCCAAGAGAACCCAGGAGTCCCAGGCTCCCCACCTGTCCTGAGCACTGTTTGGGGCTGGAGTGGGCAAGAATGGGAACCTTCTATTAATAATCAAAGAGGGATGGTGGTTGTGACCTAGGTCTGCTCCTGACTGCTTGAAAGTTTTTCCTTGAAGGAAATCAATTCTGAAAAGCCAGTTCAAGCCAAGGAAGAGGGGGAGGAGTAGGGAAAGGGGTTTAGCCTGAATGTGAACAGAGAGTCCTTTGGCTGCCACTTTGCAAGACAGAGCAACTCTGGGGCTGAGCTCCTACACCATGTCATCTCAGCCATCCAATTCAGTCCAGCCACCATTTATTAAACACCTACTATGCGCAAGGATTTGAGCTGGGAACTAACAATAAAAGGATTAAAAAAATTCATCGTCCCTGCCCTCAAGGAGTTTGCAGTCCAATAGAGGAGATAAGACTTACACTGACAGCTAAGACATGAGACAGAATGTGATGAGGACAAGGGAGGACTGCACTGAAAGTTGTAGGGGAAATTTGAGAAGCAGGGGTGGAGGACACCCCTAAAATGGGCTTTTAAGGCAAGGAAGGCTTTTGACAGCTAGGGATGGGCAGGAAGAAG